CTATCTGCACATAAATGTTTTGCTTAGATTTCATGTCTGAGCACCATAACCACAATGAAATTTACACTATAATGACCGACTCTGGGAAGACACTAGGCCGGCTTCAGAGCTTACCCACCATGACTTGTGGTGCCAGCATCAAGGACCAAATTAGGCATCAAACCTAGTTCCAAGTCAAAATAAATAGTAGTCACTGTGTTGGGAATTTTATGAAAAACTAAGCCCTAAATGGGCTAAAGTTCCTGGCAAGGGCCCCAGCTCTGTTGCATCTAAGGGCTACTGACCCCACCTCTCATTTTCGGCGACCATAAGTTGGACCCCAAAGTTTCCTCTTCTTCTGATCAAGGGACAAAAATAATATCTCTGTAAAGAAGATCTCTTTTTTGATCCCTACTCTTTTACCCAAATATCTTTCCTTGTTATTTTAAAGAATTACATGACTATATATTTTCCCATAGATCCTTAGGGGACATGATTTTCTTTTCTTTTATTCTTTTACTACTCTCTCTCTCTCTCTCTCTTTCACACACACACACACACACACACACACCCAGAGCGACTTACCACTACTATCAGACATACTTCTAAATTTGGTCTTTGTTTTATATTTAAAGTGAATTTCTACCTATCTCTGCTAAGTTTTCCTATCACTTTAATGTACTGAATATTCTACATTTCAGAGTTATCTATAGACATGGGCTGATCTAACACCTTTAAAAGAGTGTTTTGGCCTAAAGAAACTCCTCTTATTTGGGTCTATTTTCTTTTATTGTCTTTCTAATTCCTGGATTTATTCTGCGAGATCATTTATATGAGTTAATATTAATCAGTTTTCCTACTACTTTAAGGATTTCAACTTGCTTTCTGTCATTTCTAACATCCTCTTTTTAAAAAGATCATCCCACTCTTCTCCATGAAGATTATTTGTGATCCTGCCCAGTATCTGAAGAGCACATAAACACCGATATAGCATGAATTTGCATAACACTGATAGAAGTAAAGCAGTTTTAAAAATGAACCAACTTTCTGGGAATCAAACTCTACTAAATCTTTACCACATATCTTTCCTATAGATTCTTGGAACTTATTTGAACAACTGAAGTTATTAAACATGCTAATTCCTATTTCACTTCCTTTTCCCTTTCTCTGCTGTAAAGTTAATTTCATTAAATGCCCCAGACTTCTATTTTCAATAGCATGTCTGAATCTTTCATAAGTGTACTGGTAAGAATGCTATTTGCTTTGTTGACCAATATAGCCACAGTCATCAATAGTTCGTTAAAGCTGGATTTCTCCAGCCAGACTGCCTGAACTTGAATTCTAGCTCCTTTACTTCCTAGGCTGGTGATCACCGGCACTTTTACTTTCTGGGCTTTAGGTTTTCTTACCTAGAAAAAAGCTTATAAAGGAATGTATTTCCTAAGACTCTTGTGTTACACACATTCAAGTGCTTATGTTAGCACTTGGTGCATAGTAAGAACCCCCAAACCTTGTTATTCCTCTTTTTAGACTATATATGTACATGGACATCAGATGGACTATAAATGTAATATGTTAGCAAAAGCTAAATATAAACCAAAGAATTCACACCACGTATCAAAATGATTAAAGTGATTTTATGAAATATGTGAAAATCGGGTCATTTCATTTTTCAGGAAAAAATAGCTAAATAGAGTTAATTGATTTTTTCAGAATTTGAATTTATTACTCCACCTTATAATTCAAATTTACTAAAATGTATAGAAAATAGGCTGTACATTACTATCTAGGGTAGGCACCATTTAATCAGATTCAGTTTATGGTTTTTAAGGTCCTTAAGTCATAAAAGCATTTAAAAAATGCCCTAAGGCATCCATATATAAGGAGTAGCTAAACAAGAACAATTATTTACATTTATACAGTAGACCAAAAGATTTGATTCATTTGCCCTTATTTAACTTTTGTTCATTGCTTATGCAATTCATTTGTTCTCCTTAATCTACCCATGGCATTTGATTATTCTATAATATCCTGGAGCAGTGAACTCTGTAAGTTGAAATATGCTATTTAATGTCAATTTCAAGGTTATTATATCAGATCACAATACTTGAAAAGAAATCAACATTCTTTTGTGTCATTTTCAGAGCGTGTATCATTCATTATGAACTTTTACCCATGACATTAACATTCTCAGCTGGGATATACCAGCCATACGTTTCCCGCTAGAAAGACATTTACTTACACAGCAAACCACTAATTGTTGAATTGCAATTTGAGTGTGTCTGAAAGTGTATTGCCTGGGCAAACTCCTGTTAAATTTAAAGTTCAGTAAATGTGATAAAATCCTATTTCCTCCCTCTCAGACTAATATTTGCATTTGATTTACACTACAATTTTTTTCTTGATTTATAGTAATCATTTGTACATCTCATTATGTCTGATAAAATTAATCATAACCCTTTTAGCACCTTCTTTATTCAAAGCAACCACTCCTTATATAATATATATGAATAAATGATGCTCCTAAGCATGATATAAGGTCTATGTTTTCTACTATGGGTACCTGCAAGAATACAGACCACAAGACG